CTTTGCACAGAAGTGAGATAAAAAAAATTTAGGGCTAATATCTTGGAGAAGGGTCAGGGTTAGGGTTTACATTGAAGACAATGTAAAAGGAAACAGTGACTTTCTTGGGGCTGAAGAAGGGGTGGAAGAATATGCAAGGTGGAGAATCACATGATAAAGAGATCCAACTGGGAAATATTCTTGGGGACAAAATGTGACACATGCTAGTAGTCCTCAAGAAAATAAACTAAATGAGGAGATAAAAACTAATTTGTTACTTGTTATCCTGTGTTCTTTGAGGTCTCAGTGTGTAGCACCTGTCACACTATTATTCTTTCCCTTATCAAATTCTCTAAGATCTGTTATTGTGCTTGTTTTTTATGTTACCAGGTGTTTAATTTGCAACGCTGTCTGTAGAAGGTGATACATGTTTAATTGTTTCTTGGTCAGGAATCAAAGCCTAGGTTAAGTGAACTAACTGTCAAGAGGATTAGGTAAGAGGATTGCTTTATATACTAGAACCAGTACAAGTATCAAGAAGCCAGAATAACTGTTCCAAGGGATCCAGGAGTCAGATAAATAGTGGAAACAGTGTCACACAAGTGGTAAAACTGAGTCATGAGGGTATAATAAAGGGGAACAATATTTTTTCTTTATGGTTCAAGGGTGGACCAATAAAATCATTTCAGAATAAATTATCACTATACTATCAATATTAGCAATCAATTCAGTTTTAAATACAAGCCTGTATTTTAAAAAAGTATACCTTAATGAACAAATCTTAAAAGACTAAAAGTATCACAACTGTTATGAGACTTTATAACAAGTCAATTTTTAAACATAGATTTTCAAAATAATTATCACATGTAACAATCATATTATTATTTAGTTGTTTTTTTTTTTTTTTCAGACTGGTTCTTGCTATGTTGCCTGGCTGGTCTCAAACTCCTAGTATCAAGAGATCCCCCTGCCTCAGCTACACCTGTAGTCCCAGGTACACATATGCATGACACTGGGCCCAGCCGAGCTTTAGAGATTTTTAAAATATCATTGAATAATGATGGCAATGAAAACAGATGACATCCCTAGGCTCTTAAAGCATGTGAAGTAATATACACTTTCTCTGAACAAATAAAGAATCCAACAAAATGTAGGTACCTTTAAACTGCATTTCCCATTCTCGGACACTCTCCATTTGTACTGCATTCAAATCTGAGAGATCATCATATTCATCTCTAAGTGCATCTTTATCTAGGCAAAATGTTGCTAGTCCTCTGGAGGCATCCCTACCAGCAAATATTCCATATGGACCCGCTGAAAAAAAGAAAAGAAATTATTTAGATTGTCTAACAATACTTTGGAATGTCTCAAAGGAAAAAGTAAACCCTCATTATGACTCACATTTGGTACATAGCCTTAATTTCAAAACATAAACAGATACTAGAAAGGATAATGAGAAGAAATTTGTTGGAAATCTGCTTTTTGATTTAAAAAAAATTTTTTTCAATGAAAGTTTAAACCTTAAATTTCAATTACTTCAAATAAACTTGTATTCAAAATGAAGACTGTGTGTGAGGTAGTTAGGGGGAAAAGAAAACTTATAAGCAGTTAGGTTTAGAAGCCAGTTAGCTGGAGAGGAAATGGTGTTTTACTGATTGCTATTAATTAACAGTGGCATCTAAAAATAATCAACAGGCTGGGCTCAGAGGCTCACACTTGTAATCCTAGCACTCTGGGAGGCGGAGCCACAGAGGACTGCTTGAGGTCAGGAGTTCGAGACCTGCCTAAGCAAGAGTGAGACTCAGGCCGGCACGGTGGCTCACGCCTGTAATCCTAGCACTATGGGAGGCCGAGGCGGGTGGATCGCTCAAGGTCAGGAGTTCGAGACCAGCCTGAGCAAGAGTGAGACCCCCATCTCTACAAAAAATAGAAAGAAATTAATCGGACAACTAAAAATATATAGAAAAAATTAGCCGGGCATGGTGGCACATGCCTGTAGTCCCAGCTACTCAGGAGGCTGAGGCAGAAGGATTGCTTGAGCCCAGGAGTTTGAGGTTGCTGTGAGCTAGGCTGACGCCACAGCACTCTAGCCCGGGCAAAAAGAGTGAGACTCTGTCTCAAAAAAAAAAAAAAAAAAAAAGAGTGAGATTCCATCTCTACTAAAAGTAGAAAAATTAGCCTGGCGTTGTGGTGTGTGCCTATAGTCCCATCTACTGGAAAGGCTGAGGAAGGAGGATTGCTTGAGCCCAGGAGTTTGAGGTTGCAGTGAACTGTGACACCACTGCACTCTACCTGGGCAACAGAGAAAAAAAAAAAAAAAGTCAACAGAATATTATGTATTACATAAGGACTCAGGTGAACTGTGAATCTGCAACATTTTTCTTTTTCCTATCCTTATGTAGGCTGTAACTCTGAGAGCAGAGACTGTATCATCTTTGTGGCCCCAGTAACTAGTGCCCAGCACATATTCAATAAATCTTTGCTGAATGAATGGTTTGATCAAAAATATGATCCATATTCAAAATAAATCATCTGACTACAATATATATATATAATTACCAATTTAAACTAGGAAAAGTCATTAAGGAATAATCGTTTTCATTTTTCATGACTTTTGGGAAAGAGAGGAAGTACCTACAAGGAAAAGTTCTTCTGGACTGACACATTAAGTAATGATTAGCATTTTGTCCAAGGAATTAGGTATTAGCCTCTCTAGGGAAAAATGGCATGACCGATGTATTGACAGAAATAAACCATTTCCAAAGCCTGTCCTTGAGAGCATTAACTTATTCGTTTCTATGTCCTCGATGCCTAGCACGGTGCCTGGCATAAAGTAGGAACATCATAAATTTCTTCCAAATGAATTAGCTATAGTTCCAAATATGGAGAAACTCAAGATTCTGACCCTTTAAATAGATTCACTTATGGTAAGCAAAATCTCCACCCAAATATATAATTAAAAAGATACTTCAGTTATTTAAAACACAGTATTAACAATAAAATTGAAACAACCTTTCTACATCAAGAAATTTGTTAAATAAATTATAGTACATTAATTTAATTGAATACTATACAGATATTAAAATGAATAAGGTAACTCTGTATAGACACAGAAAGAAGACCATGATATATTAACTGAAAAAAGCAATCAGAAGAGTATATAGTATGATTTACTTTAAAATAAAAAAAGAATATATTAATACATACATGCATATTTGTG